TTCCATATCTTGGCTATTGTGAATAGTGCAACAATAAACATACAATACAGACATTTTTAAACATACTGATTTCATTTCCTTTGGATATATACCCAGTAGTGGGATTGCTGGATCATATGTTAGTTCTATTTTGAATTTTTTTGAGGAACCTCCATTCTGTTTTGCATAGTGGCTGTACTAATATACATTCCCACCAGCAGTGTGTAAGTGTTCCTTTTCTCCACATCCTCACCAACACTTCTATCTTTTGTTTTTTTAACAGTGGTCATTCTGACTGGAATGATCTAGCTCATGGTAGTTTTGATTTACATTTCCCTGATGATTAGTGATTTTGAACATTTATTCATATATCTGTTGGCCATTTATATATATATATATATATTTATAAAATATATATATATATATATATATTTTTTTTTTAGAAATGTCTATTGGTAATTTGTGTCTTCTCTCTTTTTCTTTTTCAGCATTGCTATAGGTTTGGTGACTTTTTAAATTTTTATTTTATTGCTCTTTTCAAGGATCACTAATATTCTCTCTTGTCTTTGTGTTTTCAATTTCATTTATTTCTGCGCTTATCTTTATTATTTCTTTCCTTCTGCTTGCTTTAGTTTTATTTCACCCACTTTTTGTAGCTTCCGGAGGTGGGAACTTAGATGGTCGATTTGAGACTTTTCTCTTTTTTTAGGTAATCATTTAGTGCTATACAGTTCCCTTTCAGTACTGTTTTAGCAGGGTCCCACAAATTTTGATATGTTTTATTTTCATTTTTATTGAGTTCAATATATTTTTATTTTCCCTTGACACTTCCTCTTTGGCCCATGGATTATTTAAAAGTGTGTTGTTTAGTTTCCAAGTGTTTTTATATTTTCCTGTTATCTTTCTGTATTGATTTCTAATTTGATTCCATTGTAGTTGGAGAACATACTCCATATGACTTTAATTCTGTTAAATTTGTTAATATTTGTTTCATGGACTAGCATATGGTCTGTCCTGAATAATGTTCCATGTGCACTTGAAAAGACTGTATATTCTGCTCCTGTTGGGAGAATGTTACATAAATGTTGAATAAATCCTGTTTGTTGATGGTATTGTTGAGTTATTCCATATCCTTGCTCACTTTCTATCTAGTTGTTCTATCAGCTTGTTGAGAGAGGTGTATTGTGGTTCTGTTTCTTCTTTCAGTGGTATCAGTTTTTGCTTCACATACTTTGTAGTTCTTATGTTTGATACTTACACATTAGGATTGCTCTGTCTTCTTAGTGACCCTTTTACCATTTTGTAATGTGCCTTTCTGTCATCTCTGTTTATTGGGAAAATAGAATAATTTAATCAGGCCCCCTCGCCTCAGGTCCAGTTGGGGGTGGTGTAGCACATTCTTTGTAAGCAAATCGTGTGTGTGTGGGTGGAGTTAGTGCGCACGCGTGGTGCCACAACCTGGCTGGTGTTTACTGCCTCGGGTGTCTGCTGCATGCAGCCATGTTCTTGAACCTAAGGCTCCAAGGTCCTTTTTGCCAGTTACCTATCTCATAGACCTGCGTATGAAGGGTCTGGGGACCCAGCCTGGCATGTGAAGGGTTTGTGACCCAGTCTGAACAATGGGCTTGAGGGGTCTGTGAGCTCCAGACCCAGCCCGAGCTTGACAATTGGCCCATTCGGCAGGATGATGGGCAGGTAAAAGAGCCTGACACTGTTGTTCAGATAATTTCTATTATAGAACAACAATTATAGGATAACTTCTATTCTTCTACCTTCAAGTTCACTGATTCTTTCCTCTGTCCCCTCCATTCTGCTGTTGAACCCTTTCATTGGATTTTTTTTATATTGGTGTATTGTATTTTTTGGTTCTTAAATTTCCATTTGGTTCTTCATATCTTCTCTTTTTTTGCTGAGACTTTCTCTTTTCTGAGACTTTCTATTTTTTCATCTGTTTCAAACATGCACGTAATTGCTTGTTAAAGCATTTTTATGATGGCAGTTTAAAAATCTTTGTCAGATATTTCCTATATCTTTATCATCTTGGTGTTGACATCTGTTGATTATCTGTTTTTCATTCAGTTTCACATTTTCCCAGTTCTTGTTAGAATGAGCAAGTTTTGATTGAAACCTGGCCATTGGGCATCTGAGGTATTATAAGACCCTGGGTCTTCTTTAAAGCTTTTGTTTTAGGTGACTTCCTTTAATACATATTTAAATGAGGGTAGGCATCCCTTCATTTCTGCCAGGTCCAGGTAAAAGTACAGATTTAGTACTCAGCCTCCACTGACACCTGAGGGGATGTTGCTTCTTATTACTACTGGGTGGGGGTGGTAGTTTCCGCTTCCCGTTAAGCTTACATTGATAATTCTCTGGGTTGTGCGGGGTTGGGGGTGGCCTCATTACTGCTGGGCAGTGTTGAAAATCCTAACTCTCCACTAGGTCTCATCTGACCATCCCAGTGGGGAGAGGGAACAGTGCCTCATTACTGCCGGTGGAGATGGAAGTCCAGGCTTCGGATGGAAGTCCAGGATTCCTGCTGGGCCTTATTTTGTACACCTCAGTAGAGGAGGAGAGGGAGATTGAGTGCTTCATTATAGCTTTGAGGAGGGGAAAGCTTAGGCTTCCTAGTCAGCCTTTGCTAAGATGGAAGTCCAGGCTTCCTGCTGGGCCTTATTTTGTACACCTCAGTAGAGGAGGAGAGGGAGGTTGAGTGCTTCATTATAGCTTTGAGGAGGGGAAAGCTTAGGCTTCCTAGTCAGCCTTTGCTAGCTTTGGTGGGAGTGGGGGCCACAACTTTTTCTGTGGTGTGTGGCTATAGTAGAGTGGTTATTATCTAAAGGTTTTTTGTGTTTTGATGCTGCCCATTTCCTAGTCCTTTGAATGGGCTTTTGTTGGGACTTTTTTTGTCTGCTCTCCTTGGTGTTTCCAGGTTGCCGGCTAGATTCTTCAGCTCCAAGGAGGCAAAAAGAAAATCTAGGGAACTCACCACTGTGTCATTCCTACCAGTTTGCTTTTTCTCCACCTTTCAAATTCTGCTTACATTTGTTTTATATATAATGTCCAGGGCTTTTAGTTGTACTTAGACAGAGGAATAGGGAAAAGTATGTCTACTCTATCTTTCCGGAAGCAGAAGTCCTATTTAATTGGTTTCATTTGCTTTATTCTTTATTCCAATCTTCTTTTCTGCCTGAGGTCTCAGGGCCCAAGCTTCATTAATCACACTCATGTAAGTTCCTTTTCATGGGGAAAGAAATTAAAATCTCAAGCCTAGAAGAGCTCTGTGCATTAGTGGGAGTGGTGGAAAGAGTTTCTCTACCCAAAGATGCACACTGGGCACTCTGGATTTTTAGCTTTCTTTTACCCTCTTTTGAGGTCCAGAGCCAACCATAGGGGAAACAGGGATATTTAGCTCATTTTATATTCACTAACGGGTCTTCAACCTCCAGAGGTTTAAAAAAAAAAGTTCCCATGACACAAGAAGAGGTTTCACCCAGACATTTACAAGAATCTATAAGTGGCATAGAGGAAGAGCTGGGGAGTCACTTCCAGCTTGGCCTATTCTCAGAAGGCTCAGATTTTTGCCTTTGACTGTTGAGGGTGAAACTCATCCATAATACTCTCTGGGATCCAGTCTTCTCTGTACTTCTTCCTGCACTGAGTCTGCTTCCTTAAAAGCCTAAGTTACCCAGGGAAATGTAACCTTGATGTGACACAGTATGTGTTTTGAATCCAGGAGACCTAGTTTGGGATCCAGGCTCCATCCATCTCTTGCTAACTGTGTGACCTTGGAGTTCATTTATTCACTCAAATATAGCCCTGTAGTACCTTCTCTGGGCTAGCCACCATTCTGGGCTCTTGGAATACAGTAGTGTACATTCTTCATTGCTCTCTTTTCTCAGCACCACTCTCTCCCAAGTGAGCCACGGGCCGGCACTCTGATTGCTCTCTTTTCTTCTCTTTCTCGCTATTGGCAAGTCCAGCAGGCTTTACTTAAAAAATATATCCAAAATTGGACTGCTTTTCTCCATCACCCCATCTTCTCCCTAGGCTGTTATGACAAGTACCCTGATACTGTTCTTTCCTCGAATACTTTGCCCCAATTCATTATCTATGTAGCAGCCAGGGTGATCTTTTAAAACACATGCCACAGATTATTATTCCCTTATGTAAAACACTCCAGTTACACCCAGTCATACTGAGAATAAAATCCACCACCTCCCCATGGTCCGGTAGGTCCTGTGTGGTCTGGTTTCTGATTTCCTCTCTGAGCTCCTCTAGCACCCCACCTCCTACCCCAACCCTCCCTTCAGTATCCACACTGGACTTTTTTCTTTTCCTGAAAATGACAGGTTTGTTCCACCCTGGGGTCATTAAACCGGTTATGCCCTCTGCCTAGGATAATTTTTCCATATAAATTGAATGCTGGTTCTTTGTTGTTGTTCAGGTTTCAATTCAAATACTCTCCTTCCCTTACTGCTCAAGTCACATTCTATCAAATCATTTTTTTTCTCTACCCCCACCTCAGTTTTAGCTCTTATTATAATTTGAAATAATCTTGATTTGTTTACTAGACTGAGCTCCATGAGAGCAGGCATTATCCTTCCTTCATTGCTGTATATCCAGTGTCTACAACAGTTCCTGGCACAGAGCAATAAATATTTGTTGAATAAAGTTACTTAATTCTTTTAAGCCTCAGTTTCTCACCAGTCACATAGAATAATAATTGGCTAAAAAAACGAGGTTGAATTTAGAATTATGTGTGATAATAAATGCATGTGAAGTGTTTAGTACACTGTTTGGCTCACAGTAAGCCAAATAATAGTCTGTCTTTATTTCAATATGATTTTTTCTGTTATAACATTCAATTCCATTCTCCCATAGTCTTATAGTACCCGTTATTGTACCTAATGATATATCCGGAGTATCATGAACATTTGTCAGTGACAGATGCAAACTGGTTAGATGATTGCATGCAATTAAGTCCTAACTTAGTTCTCTCTTGTCCTTGTTTTTCTACACAGGTTCTGCAGCTAGGCTCAGACATCCTTCCCCAATATAAACAAGAGGCACCAAAGACTCCTCCTCACATCATCCTACATTACTGTGTTTTTAAGACCACATGGGATTGGATCATCTTAATCTTGACTTTCTACACAGCCATCTTGGTCCCTTACAATGTCTCCTTTAAAACCAGGCAGAACAACGTGGCCTGGCTGGTTGTGGATAGCATCGTGGATGTCATCTTTTTGGTGGACATTGTGCTGAATTTCCATACCACCTTTGTTGGACCAGCGGGGGAGGTGATTTCTGACCCCAAACTCATCCGTATGAACTACTTGAAGACATGGTTTGTGATTGACCTTCTGTCCTGTTTGCCATATGATGTCATCAACGCTTTTGAGAACGTGGATGAGGTTAGTGCCTTTATGGGTGATCCAGGGAAGATTGGTTTTGCTGATCAGATTCCACCACCACTGGAGGGGAGAGAGAGTCAGGTACATCCCTCAAATCTCAGAACTTGTTGTCATGTCTTTAAAGCTGAATTAAATGTGGGTGGTCAAAAGAAAAGTAATTAAATGGGTGGGAACTAGCATGACTAATGTCCAGAACAGAGGGAGCATGCTTGATAGATACCCTTGCCTGCTGTGTCTGTCCTTTTGAGGTTTGGAGGCCCTGCATGTCAGTGAATGGGTGTGAAAGAGACCAAAGACTTACTCTTAGTCCATGTGGAGTGCAAGTCACTGGCTCATGGGTGATGGGACTGCAAGAGCAGGCATGCATGGCCACTGCACTGGTAAATCTTCCAGTTGGTATTCAATTGATGAATGTCTACCTATTGATTATTCTAATTATGGGGACTTTTCTTTCATCTGCTGCTGACCTTTGGCTGTTTCATAGCCAATTAACTCCTAATAGCAGGGATACTATTTTCCTTCAGGTTTGCTTTTTTTCTTTTTGGTAAATGTTGGAATGAGTTATTTCTTTGCTAAAATGAGTTTGAAGATGACCTTTTGCTGAGGTAGTCAAGCACCGGCTTGTGGTTAAGAGGTGTATTGTTGTTTTTGAATTGTGCCGCTCTTGGATTGTTAGTTCTGCAGGCAATGGAAGGAATTCAAAGAAGGTAAATGCCCTTTCGGTGTATTGGAATTAGGACAAGCTCAACCGGTCAGTGTCTGAATGAGTGCCCAGGACAGTTGCAGCAGGAAGGGGCCACTGGGATAGTTAAAGTGATTTTCTCCTTTGAAAAAGCAAGAATGTCAAATCATTGCAAAGAAAAATGTCAGATTCTTACCTAGTTTGTGTTCTTTGGGAATTGTTCTTCCTTTTTCCTACTTCTAGTTGTCACTACAGATGGTTTAAGACAATACAATTCATTTGTAAGTCTTCAGCCTCATTAAGCAATGGACCCTTATTGCCTCAGATTACAGAGGATCCCAAGGTCTCAGACTAGCTGGGTTGTTAGCTGGGTGGGTAGTCTAGGAAGTCACCTGAAGGCCAAGTTGAGGCAAGACACTTCTAAGGACTAAAGGGCTCATGGGACTCAGCCTTGCAATAGTTGGAAGGAACATCCTGCTCCCTACTAGGATATTATGACCTGGCTAATGATTGTATGTCTTACTAGTGGCATAATGATGCCTCTCTGCCTTCCTTAACAGCAGTGGGCAAGGACACCAGCCCTTTCTCTGGGAGAACCGAACTACCTACTACTTCTTTCTCCGATGAAGAATAGCTCTTCCTACAAAATGCTGCCAAGTATTGAGCTAGAAGGAGAGAGCTGGATGCTCAGATACTCTATATTCAGAAACACCCCTGCTTCTATCTGTGTGGTGTGTTTCAATATACTTTAATATCCCAAGGACTAATTCTCTGGGTGGCTTGTATGGATTTTGTAGGGGAATTAAATGAGTCAAGACTGATCATTTACAAGAGCAGAATCATCCCTAAAGCAAATGTTGGGATTCATAAATGTGAATTTTAGTGCATGTTGGGAACGATATTTTTCTCTGTGAGCACATTTCTAGAAAATTTTATGTTAGTTAGTGAGGAAAATATGATCATTTTGGCTTAGGTAATTCAAATGAATTATCTCAATCTAAAAAAAACTTCTTATACACATATGGGAAATGAAATTTAACTTTAAAAAACCACTTAGGTTTTTAAAATAAACCATTTACTATTTATAGCAATGGCACTGAAATTTCGCAAATAGAACAGTTCTTTAGCTTCCACGGGTTCTTATTAAAAACTGGCACAGCTATAAAAACATATGTAAATGTGCTAAGATTACCTGGTAGGTTAACAGAGTCGAGAGCTTCTCCCCAGGGAGTGTGTATGTTGAGTTGGAGTTCCTTTGCCATTAACTGTGAGTACCCTTGTTGGTGGTTTCTGATTTTTAGATTTATAAAATAGATTGGTAATAGGAAAAATGTAGTTATCTGTGGCTTTCTAGTTGGTAAAGGGTTCAAAGCTCTTACTACCACCTCCTGATCATAAATAATAGTATAAATATTAAGGAGTTACAGCTATGATTTGCTTCTGTAAAGACTTGATTTTATATTTGGTAATTTCTTTTAAAACTTTGGCTGACACCTGAAATAATGCCTTATCATAATAATTGTGGTGGTGTGGAGAGAGATCAGTGAGAGGAAACTGAAGATTTGGCTTCTAGTCTTCTAGGTTTCACTTATTAGGATGGCTGGGAACCTTGTGTATGTCATTTAGCCTTTCTAGATCTACACCTTGGGGATAATGCTTCTTCACTTGCCTGAAGGCATGGAGTTTGGGCAGTGAATTATTTAAGATCCTTGCCATCTCCAAGGGCTAAAGTCTGGTGAGTTCTAAATTTCATCTGCATTAGTTTCATCTCCAGAAGCTGACTGTAAAAGAGGCCTAGCACCCCTACCTCCTATCTGGGGTTGGGGTGGGAGGAAGATGAGGTGGGAGGGGACACTTAGCATGTAATAAGTACACCCACTGGAGGTTAGAGTTGGACGGGACCTTGGAGGTCTTTTTGTTCAACCTTTGTTACTCACAAATAAGAAAACGGACTTAGAGGGGGATGACTTACTCAAGATTGCATAGCAAATCATATGATCACAGTAATAATGAGTCCCCTTCTGACTCTTCTGTATTCTTTTTTTTTTTTTTTTCCTTTTTGTCTTTATTCGTGACCGATAACGGGATCGCAACCCTCGGTTTTGCTCCCGTACTGTGACCGGCAATGGGATCGCAACCCTCGGTGTCGCGCCCGCACCGTGCTCAACCAGTGAGCGGACCGGTCTCTATATGGGATCCGAACCCTCGGCGGGAGCGCCGCCGCACTCTCAAGCGCCGCACTCTACTGAGTGCGCCACCGGGCCGGCCCTCTTCTGTATTCTTAATAGTGACACCTTTGATAAAATAGGAGCAGGACACTTATTAAGAACACATTTGAGTCACAACTGACCAGGAAGCTTCTAATATGTGGGGCTTATGCCTTGGCTTTGCTGAATGTGTTGGGGAAGTTGAGCACTGGATATGGTGAGGGTGGGTGTGGGTGGCCTCCTTTTCCCCAAGGCAGCTTTATTGGTGATGAGATGGGCAGTTTAAGATGATTGGCAATGGACAGATCTGGGAGTTTTCTAGGCACAGTTCTTTTGTGAAAAGGCACCTTTAAATTAGTGGGAATGAAGGGCTGGCAGTGGTTGGAAGAGGTTGGGGAGGTCATGAACCTGTCACACCTGGATTCATCTGGAGGGAAATCCCCTCTGTAGGAAAATTCTAATTAATGGCTTAGCAGGTTTATAGTCACCACTTACCCTTTTCTCACTATTGCTCTTTTCTCATCTATTGTGGAGTTGCAACTCTAAGATTGCAGCTCCCTCTGGTCTAGGTTCTTTCTTTGGGAGGGTGTGGGGAGAAATAAGAAATAAGACTCATTTCTCATAAAAAATACACAGAGCTGAATTGTTGCTAGTGTCCTCCTAATATTGCCAATGGACCTAATATTGCCAGTGGAGACCACCAAAGAAGAGTGAATTGAGCAGTGGTGGCTTTGCCATCTGTGTGTGTGGAGTGAGGGTGGGAGGTTTTGAAGTGAAAAGATTGGACCCACTCCGGCCAGAAGTAGGGTAAGCTGCTGAAGCCTGCACTTGTGAATTCAGCCCTGTGGCTATAGCCTATCTCCATGATTTAATCCACACAAGTGATTTCTTTGGCTCAACTTGTTTCACTTATGTAGATGGCTACATTTGCGTCATTCTCCAGTCTGTTGGTAATAATCTGCTTTGGAGGCTGTTTGGGAATATGTTTGCACATTATTTAAACTGGTTGGTTAGAGAATGAAAGGTCTGGAAACTGAGTGAACTAAAGCTTGGAATTGGTATGTCCAAACAAAAGCCAAATAAGTCTCTTTCAAGCTCTTAGTGGATTATTGGCCTAGTGTGCTTCGTGGATTGAAGATGGAATTATCATTGACAAAACAGATTCATTCTCCTAAGGAAACCCTCTTGCTTATTGTTATTGCTGTTGGAGTTTGGCAGTGCAAAGGGGAGAATGGGGCCAATTATGATATCTCCTGGGTCACAATTCTGGTGCCCAGGAGCCTGGAGGTGGCCAAGAGCTTCCTTCTATCCCTGGTTTTGTAACCTCAGTTAGCAGCACAACCAGATAGTGCCAGTGATGTGGCTGACACTTGCCAAGAGCCCATTCTCACAGGAGATGCTCACCTTAGAGCAGAACAAGACCAGGATGCACTGATGAAAAAATAATAGCACTGACAACAGCTTCTTTTTATCTTGTACTTTTAACTCTACAAAACACTTTCACATAGATCACCTTTATTCAAACTCTGTGTGGCAGTGAAGAAACTGGACTGAACTGGGAGGAAGTGTGACCCAGGTGTGACTGCCGTCCAGCTATGCTACCTTGTATAAGTCACTTCACCTCCCTCAACTTGGTTGGCCTCACCTGTACATGAGTCCATCCAGCTCTAACCTTCTTGTGGCTCTAGAGCAGGTATTATCCCAGTTTTGCAGATGAGAGGATATGGATAGGTTGTCCTTTTGCCTGATGGCAGCTGTTTTGAGGTAGTGAAATTGGACTCCAGTCTTCTGACTCTGAGGCTTGTGCTTTTTTCCTGAAGGTCATGTTACCTCATCAGAGAATCTGGAGGCCGAGGGAACCAAGCTGTGCATTTCAGTCCCCAGGTCCCTTTCTCTGAATTGTTCTCTGGCATGGCCCCTTCTGACCTCTTTACATTGGTGGGTGTTGGGCTGGGTCACAGACCCTTCGAACCCATCCTGTGCAGGCCACTGGCTAGGTAGTTGGAAAAAGATTCTGGGAGCCATTGGCAAGGTTGACATGCTTTATTCGGATGAGAGCTCAGCCCCCCAGAGGGTCAGTCTGTTGTCTTTTATACTAGAATCAGATAACCAAGGAACATATGGGCACACATGTGCAGGTATACCACTCTTACATAATGTATTTACAACAGACATGCTGAGTCATGCTCAGCCAGATATGAGGTTGAGGGAGCCTGACCATTCTGTCTCCATTTTCCTCACAGTGGGCCTCTTTCACAGCTGAGGGGTGAGAG